AACGTAGGAGTAGTACTCATTCATCAGATAAAGAGGTTTTACCTTCGCTCAAACAGAATATAGCAGTACCCTTCCCACCCATTAAACAAGTTTGCTGCACACTGGAAAAATCTTAATCCTTTCATATTTTGTACAGTAGCAAATCAGAATATTTATTGCAAGACACCTGCCCGAAATGTAGCACATTTTCCTCTGTGCTTGAATCCAAAAGTATGCATTTCCTGTGACTCAGTCACGCAAATTTAAACATTTGTGCAGTGGTAGCAATAACTGGGATAACCTCTGTGTCCGAACTGCTGCCATAAAATAACCCCTGTATCTCTTTGACTGAAGCAGCTCTCCTTATGACTATAAATGCCCCTTTACAAAGTCATCCCCAAAATAATACACTAAAGCATTGTTTGAAGGAAGACTGCTGAGGTAGTAAAACCCCAGGAGAGCAGCATCAACCACTTTTCAAGTGATGTAATGCCTGTCCAATTAGGCAGAAAAGTAAAGTCATAAGGCTGAAAACTGGGAGTTTTGCCGTGACAGCAACAGAGAAAAGAAGTTTATCTTCTAGAATCCAGGACATCACGTTTGAGACTTTAGATAGGATATATAACGTCTTCACACTGCATCAGATAAGCTCCTGACATTGCATTGAGCAATATGCCAATACCACAAACCTGTCATAAACCTAGGCATATTCAACTATAATTGCAACAAAGGTGGCAGCTTTGATAACCTCACACACAGCTCTGCATAATATGGTCCTCTCTTCTCTCCATATCTGCAAAAATACCAAAGGCACTACAATAATGAGGGAATAGGGGAAGAAGGAAGAGAAGGATAACTAAGAATAGGTTGGGAAGAACCAAAGAAAACCAGAGCAGCATTCAGGCATTGAAGTAGTGGATCCCTGAAGGGCACACGACAAAGAAGTTGCATTGTGTCCAGGATCCCAAGCCTTTACAGAAGGAAGTCCTAGTTCTCCTACAGCACAGCCACCTTGTCTTGCAGGCTGCATGGAACCAAGTTTCCTAGCAGTAGGTCCTGGCCACTCAGCTAGATTTTTATCTTTTCCAGAAGAAAGAGACCTAGCAAAAGGAGAAAGTAACCTCATCCAGAAAAGGTCTTTAGGAATCACCTGTCCAGAAGGTTATGAAGATACCACCAGGAACTATTATACATTTACCTTTTAATTTGGCAATGTGGACAGGGGATAATCTCAGAAGATTCCACATTGTTAGTCATTACTATAGGACAAGCAATTTTATTGAAAACTAGACAAACAAACAAACAAAAAAAAAAACACAGAAAAAGCTCCACTTAAGGATGCAATTAAATTAAAATCCTACAAGCCCTAAAGAAAACCAAAAACAAAAACACTGCCACAAAGGAGTACTGATATAACTCCCATCATACTGCTGTTGTTATACCAACTAACTTGCACATGAGCATGCATTTTCAAAGAATTGCACAGTATATCAGGAAGAACTCCATACTGTGGTCTGCCCATGCAACTTTTTTTATGGCTTTTCTATTTTTTTTTTTAAAATAATCCTGTTATAGTAGCCATATCCAACTTTTTTTTTACTACCCTCTGTTATAGCTGTCACAGATTAAATAATGACATAGTACAACCAGTCACTGGACTCAGACATTGATAGTGCCAAAAACAGAAGAGAACAAACAGCCCACACAAAAGCCACGACCAACGCATTTCCCCTTCACATAAAAGGAAGTAAAAGGCACCATCACTACAGGATTCAGGTACCAGTGCACTTCCAAAGGACAGCCCCATCACCTGGGGAGAGCCTGAAGCTCAGAACACCCACACCCCCCAAATATATATGTTTTTAAGCAAGTAGACAATATTAGTCTTCTCATGCTGTTTGTTTCCCTCCAGAGGAACCACCTAGTAGGGTGACCAGGCTGCTGTGGTGTTGGGAGATGGCCAGAGGCCAGATTAGATACAGCCACCTGCTCTAAGGTTATGAAGCCAGTAGGTGCAGGGGAAGAACCCGCTGCCGGCCCAGAGAGGCCCCGGAGCGGCGATGAGCCTAAACCCGCGAGGGTTTAGGCCTCGCAGGTGCCCCAGACGCACCCCCCGCCTCGGCCCACCTCAACCTGCCC